TGTCTCTCTCTGTCTGGCGAGCACACGCGCCCTATAGCAAAAAAACCTCTCCAAAAAAAAAAAAAAGTTGAACTTTGTATCTAGTTTGATGGAAAACATGGAAACACTCCATGCTCTTTGGAGGCACAACAACTGCTAATTCAAAAGCACTTTTTTTCCCCCTGTTTTTGACTTAGAGTGCTTGCACTTGCTGGGGAGAGAGAGAGACAGAGACAATAAAAGAGAAAGTGAGAAATCACTCCCTGGGGAGATAGCCATGCCACAATTCCTTCTCCTCCTTGGATCTTGGGCACACACGCTCACGCGAGACCAGCATGAGTTTCAAGCCACTGAGTCTGGGACTTGAACTGCAGTCGGCCATGTGGGAGTCCAGCAATGTAACCACTATGCCATCTGCTGGCCCCATGTACTTTTTTTTTTTTTCTGATACAGAGAACAGTCTTCTGCATGTAAGAATTCATTCTCTTGAATGGAGGAGAAGGGATTGCGGCGTGGCCATCCCCCCTGGGGAGTGATTTCTCGCTTTCTGTCTCTCTGTCTCGCAAGCGCATGTGCCCTATAGCAAAAAAACCAAACCAAACCAAAACAAAACAAAAAAAAACACAACAAAAAAAAACACCTCTCCAAAGAATTCATTTTCTCATGGTCATATTAGAGTTTGTGCAAATTCTGTTGATTTGCCAAAGTGACTGTTAAATCCAGCACACCATAGAGAATTTCAAAATTACAATCTGTTTCAAGGCCTTATCTTCCTCGTCTCCCCTACCAAGGCATAAATATCATCTAGTGCCAGACAGATCCTGGGATTTAGAGGCTATGCCGGGAAGGTATGAAATCAAACAGAAACAGGAAAGTTCTTTTTGTATTTGGATTGATGGCCGCATTCCAGACCCTAGAAAGCTTCTCCAGACCAGCATGAAGTCTGAACACTCACGTGCCGCTCACTTGCCACGGCAGCACCTGGAACGATTTGTTCACTTCAAGGCGTTAACTGTCACATGAACACCCTGTGGTCCCTACAACACCCATATTTCTATAGTAGGTAAAAGCTAAAGACACATCCTTTCAATGACTATCCACGGCCCAGGCACGAAATCACTACTGAAAACGAAGGCTGTAAGGGCGCTAGGTGACCGTGGAGGGAGCAGAGCCCACGGAGGAAGCCTGCTCCCTCGACGGTGTGCAGGAGTACCTGGGGATAAGCGGATTGCACTCTCCGGGATCCAGGGGATTGATGTCGCAGTTCTCGTAGTCAAAGGTCCCGTTCCACAAGTGCTTTGCCAGCTGAAATGCTATTTTTCGCTGTGCTAACGTGACCTCCTTCCCGTGCCACACGTAAACTTCGCTGCCGAAGTCGAACACCAGCACCTGGGCAATGGTACAGAGGACGCCGTCAAGGGCACGCTCTGGCTGACTCGGTCTCTCTCCACAGTGCGTCAGACGGGTGATGGTACAAATCCCAGTGGGACATCGGCGACAAACACAAGGTTCCCAAGATCTGGCCGGTGGGCACGTCCTGCCAGGCCAGCCCTGCCCCCGGCTGTGACTCGTCCTGAGTGCTCAAGTTAACGTTCTCTCCTCTGAACGCTAATAAGAGAGTTATTTCAGTCCATCGCCCTGTCTTCTTTCCCTCGTCCTGTCTCCCTTGTTTCTCCCACCTTCATCGGCTCATTCATTCACTCAACACAGGCCAACGCATCCATGCCAGGCACTGAGTCCAGGGACGTCTTTTTTCCTACTGTGACTCCCAGATCCTCGGGGCAGAGATCACATCATACCTATACTGACAGCCGGGTTTATTACTGTTTGCTGAATGACTGTATGAGTGTAATGTTACTTTTTATTTTCATGCTAGTGGGTTTTTTATTTTTTAAATTTACTTTTTTTAAAAAAATTTAAGAATTATTTTATTGAACTTATTTATTATTATTATTATTATTTTCCAGTTTTGATAAGAAAGAGAGACAGAGAGTGATGAGGGAAAGTGAGAAAGCAAGCCACCAGGTCAAGGACTTGAACCATGGGCAGCCACCTGCTGGCCCCACTTGTGGTTTATTTTATCTTTCTTTGTAGGATAATTTCTCCCTTCAGTTCCAGCAGTCCAAATTCTACTAGTTTAGACCAGGCCCGATTTCATTTAAAAAAAAAATATATATATATGTATGTATGTATATTATATATTCCTCATTATTTATTTTTCTGTGACCTCGTCTGCCACTTAAATGCCCATCCATATCATACACTCAATCTACACTATAATGGCTTTGGACTGCATTCTCGAAAATACTCTTCTATCCAGTGAAATGGAAGGTCCTTTTTTATCTTCCTCTTTTTTCCCTCAGCACTTAGAATACTTAATGGTACTGCATAGAATTAAATGTATATAATTAATAAATATTTACTGGTGTATGAAAAAAACCCAGCACATTACTTGGCAAATCCACAAATTATATATACACGCATTTATTATTCCTGAAACCTATGGACTGAAAAAATATTTAATGTTTATACAAAATTCAAGAGGTAGGGCTAAGTCAGATTTCCATTTTCCCTGTAATAAAGAAGCCATCAATGAGCAACATCTCCTCTGAACGACAGCCTGAGTCTAGGCTAGTACAGAAGGTGGCCAGAACGATTCAAGTCAAAAGTAAACGTCCTTTAAGACGTCTGTGCTCCGCCACTGGCACCGACACTGGGGAGCCCTTCCTGGGCACACTCTGTTTATCGGGCAGACCTGCGCAAACCATTTTCAATGCACATTTCTTTTGGGGGGGGGGAGATTTTTGCTATAGGGCGCATGTGCTCTGCAGAGAGACAGAGAAAGATAGAGAGACAGAAAGTGAGCAATCACCCCCTTGGTGGGGGCATGCTGTAATCCCTTCTCTTCCACTCTCCTCTTGGGATTTTGAGCACACATGCACATGCACCTGGCCTGAGTTTCAAGCCACTCGGTTTAGGACTCAAACCACAGTCAGACATGTAGGTGTCCAGTACCATAACCACTATGCTACCTGCTGGCCCCACCGTGTGTTTCTGCTAAAGGGTGGTGCCCATTAAATACCTCTTTTGGTTGCAGGAGGGAGCACTTTGGAATCTTCCCCCAGTAGTCGTCATCAGGAACCAGCTTGTCGTCTATGAGACGGTAAATGCAGTTTGTTTCTATTATGGCCGTTTCATACAGCTCGTCTTCTTTTGGGTCTCCCGCAGCTTTGGGGTAAGAACAACAGGAGACCACATTTTACATGGAAGCGGAGCTGGTTTGGAAGAATGAATCGAGAGAGGAGAAAGGAGAGTCAAGCCCATCACTGTCTGAAACACAGTGAACTCTTACACTGGTAACTGGTCTGACCACCCAGGAGCTTCCAGAAGTCCTTGGCTGCGTGAGTGTGCGTATTAATTCCTTCTTCGATGGTTTGGATGTAAGTGGCTCTACAACCAAGCTCTCTCTTTGTCTGAATTAATGTCGCAAGTTCTGAGGCCTAAAAAATGAAAGGAACACAATTACCAGGGCAGAAAAGCCCATGGCCAGGCAGAGTGACACTGACATCAGAGAAGGGCCCTTCTGGGGTGTGTCTAAAAGGATGACTTCAGACCATAGGGGAGGTGGATGATGGCTGCTGAGTATTTTCTTTAATTTTTTAAAAGATCTGCTAGAGGATATGTGTGTTTGCCAAAGACAGAGAGGAAGGCAGGGTGGGGAAAGTGAGAAGGTACCCCCATGGGGGGTAGTCAGGTCACAGTCCCTTCTATCTCTCCCACCTCTTGGGAGTTCTGGCACGCATGCACACATGCCTGGAGTGTTTCTCAAGTCACCGGGTCCATGACTTGAACTGCGTAGTCAGTCATGCGGGATTCAGGGCCTTAACCACCACACCATGTGGTTGCACTGGGTGTTTGCAATAAAGTCAAGATCAGTTTTTAGAGCCATAGTTCTCAGTCTCCAACACTCAGCAGATCCTGTGTGGAGCTCTTGGCATGCCCACTGTGGGACTTTGCCCGTGACTCCTCACCAGGCAGAAACCCAAGGACTTCATGGGCACCTGGGACAAAGGACTTGGAAGTGGAGCTCGTTCCTCTATAAACGGAGTAAGCATAAACGCAGGACTTAGAAAACTGGAGGTGAAGGCCACTGTCCTTCTGAGACATCACACCTAAGCAGCTAGTGAAAGCTCTGAGAGACAGCTGGACAAGAAATACCCCCTCTTCTCACTCGAAGGCGACCTCGGCACCAGAGACGCGCTGGGATCACCTGCGACTGGCGGGGTGTCCTGCTGGAGTGGGAGGAAGGGTACCTAAAGCACTTCTACTTGCAGGTACCGACCTTTGCCTTCTCTATGACGTTGGCAAACTCTCCCACCCACAGGAAGCAGTAATGCGGAGAGAGGAGAAGAAAGCAGTCCCCGCTGTTGAGTGAGGACGCTCGCGGCTCCACCAGCCTCGTCTGCACGTGTCTTCTTCCTGAAAAGAGGCAAGGGTCACTGCTTTCCCGGACAGGAGCCCGGGGCAGGGCACGTGCCCACACGCGAAGCTTCCCTGCTAGACTTGCAGTTCTACAGAGGCTGATCTACTGCTCTCAGCTCCCACGGCCCAGCATGGAGGGGATTTAAAACAGAGGATGTGACAGCATTGTGGAGGACCGCCTGGCGAGCCTTCCCAAATGTCGCCATCTCCTGAGTGTCTTTTACAGCACGTGAGGGGCTGAATCACGGGTCCCTGCTGCTGGGAAACGAGCATGCGCCCCTTCCCCGCTGCTCCTTCACTCTCCTCCTGGTGCCCTGCTCCCACCCAGCCCACCTCCCACACTCGGGACTCCCAGGGCAGGGAAAGGGGGACGGCCGGGCAGGCATCTTCCCGTGAGCGGTCACTATGAGCCACAGCAGCTGCTCCGCAAGGGTCTGCTCAGAGGGGACACTGCCTCGGCTGCTTCTAGGCCCTCTCCTAAGTGATTTTTTCAGTCTCCCGCTTTCCTTGCTTCCACAGGGAGCGCAGTCTCTGGGTTAATATGTGGGAACTAAGATGGCATTTGACTTGCTACTACATTCTATTGCAGAGGACGGGGTCATGCAGAAACATCCTGCAGACCCTCAGGGGTGAGGGTACTGTCTCCACCGTCTCTCGGTGGTCATCTCGAGGGGTTGCCACCATAAGGCAGCTAGGCCTCTCTGCGGAGCCCAGCGGTCCCCCCTATAGCTAGAAAGGTGCTTCAGAACCCAGCTCTGCTCGCTTCTGCTTCCCTTGATTCCTCCTCCCCAAACATGCCCCTCGGGCTGCACTGAGTCTTGCTCGGCTCGCTCTGTAAGGGGCGGGAACAGAGGGCCAGGCTGAGAGCCACTCTGAGAACCGGGGCTGCTGGCAGCCCTGTGGCAGTGTTAGGGCAGGGCTCCTGGGGCGAGGGGAGCAGGAGCGAATGCTGACACTGGAATGGGAGAGGCCCGCCCAAACCCAGCACTGCCCTGGGCTCCTGGCTGGGGCCTAAGGCCTGGCACTCTCACAGCCCTGTGGGCTAGTCCCTACCTCAAGGGACTCTGTGCCAAGTCGGGGAGGAGGCAGCTCGCTCCTCACCACGGCAGGCATTCTCCTCCCCTCCCTGGCGGCAGGCAGCAGCCAGGCTTCCGGGTGTGACCAGGCAGAGACCCGGGCATGGAGCTCCTCCCTGCTGCCCTGAGTACCTTTGATCTGCAGCAGCATCAGCTTCTTGTAGGGCACGGCACTGTTGTTGGAGTGCAGCTCCGTCAGGTCCACGCTGCGCAGGCTGACGCTGCTGAAGTTCTCCTTACTGGCTAAGCCGGCCAGGGTCACTTCCGAGAAGTTGGAGTTGGAGGACACTGGAGGGTAGAGGAAGTAAGGCGGTCCATCAGACGGTCAGAGATCACGCACGATCCCCCAAATCCTTTTACTCACGGTGGAGAACACATGCAGTGCACGCAGTGTGGAGAGAAGCACCTCGCCGGGGTCTCCGGAGTCACAGTCCCCTGCCCCAGCTCCTCAGGATCATGGACACGTGTGCTCATGTATGTTTTCAGGCCAATCGGGGACCCAAACTCAAGGTCAACCATGTGGTTTCCCATACCGCAGCACAGTTTGCTACCGACCGCACCCCCAGACCGAGTCTCGAATATTCACAACTGACTACTATTCTCTTTCAAAAGTAATTCTGAGGGGGCAATCAACTCAAATTTGATGAACTGTGTAATTCAACACTAACCATCGAATTAAGAATGAAATACAGTTGGCCATCCGGTGGTATGGTGGTAAGGAGTTGGACTCCCACATGGTTAGCCATGGTTTGAATCCTGGACCTGACAGGTGGAATACCATGACGGGTATGTGTGCATGCGTGCCCAAAATCCTGAGAGGAGAATGGAGAAGGGATTATGGTGCAGCACTCCCTGAGGGGTACTTCCTCACTCTCCCTCTCTGTCTCTCTCTCTCTCCGGCAAGCACACATGCCCGATGGCCACGCCCCCACCCCCACCCCCACGAAGTACAGTATTGAGAGCATAAACTGCTTGTTGACTGTTCCCTGCCTCCCTGGGCAGAAGGACAAGAACTGGGTGACAGTGTGGACCAGCTGCTTTAATATAAACCAGGGGCTGAGCTCGTTCGTTGGAATCCCGCTGAAGCTGCTGGAATTCCTCAGGACTCTCAGATGCGGAGTGTAGTCCCAAGGAGAGCCGTTAGGTGCCATTCACCAGAAGTCGTCCCGGGCAGGAAAGTGGATACTCTGTGAGGGATGATTTAGTTCTGCTCTTTCTCCGGAGGCAAACTGACCAACTGGATGGGATCTGGGGGCCTGCACTCTGAAGCCTGAGGATAATTACCAGAAGCTGGGTCTCTGGTGAGAACCAATGAGCACCAGCGGGTGGATCGGTCATCACAAAAGCATCTGACATGCTTCCCAGAAGTGGAGGCAGAAGAAAAGGATGTAAACCTTGTGCCAATAAAGCTTTATTTCCCTAACTTGTACATGTTGGAGAAACATTCGGCAAATTATTTCAGTGGGATTATGTTCTAACCCTGAGGTTAGAACTACTTGGCAATTCACATGGCACAGTGATTTTAAAACACAGTTCCTAAGTAAACCAGCTACAATGAAAAGATTCAACGGTGTCATCTAAATACTGTATTTCTATGAAAAACTTTAAGAAATAAGCTTATGGGACCAGCAGTTAGCGTAATGGCTGTATTACTGGATTCCCATGTAGTCGACTGCAGTTCAAGTCCCGGACCCGGTGGCTTAAAACTCACACCGGGGGGGAACCAGCAGTTAGCGTAATGGCTATGTTGCTGGACTCTCACGTAGTCGACTGCGGTTCGTGTCCTGGACCCGGTGGCTTAAAACTCACGCCGGGCGCGTGTGTATGCGTGCCCAAGATCCCAAGAGGAGAATGGAGGAGAAGGGATTGTGGCGTGACCATCCCCACTGGGGGGGTGATTTCTCGCTTTCTGTCTCTATGTCTCTCTCTGTCTGTCTGGCGAGCGCACGTGCCCTACAGTGAAAATCTCTCCAAAAAAAATAAATAAATAAAAACCTCACACCGGGCGCATGTGCGTGCATGTCCAGACTCACACAGGGTGCATGTGCGTGCGTGCCCAAGATCCTGAGAGGAGATTGGAGGAGAAGAGACTGTGGCGTGGCCATCCCCCCTTGGGGGGTGACTTCTTGCTTTCTATCTCTCTGTCACTCTCTGTCTTCCAGGCGAGTGCATGTGCTCTCTAGCAAAAACCTCTCCAAAAAAAAAAAAAAAAAGAAAAAGAAAAAAAGAAACAGGCTTATAAGCACTATAGGAAAATAAAAATCGTATCAAGAAGATTCAAAGTATCAAGATCATGCACACCATTACTTACCAAGCGAACCGCTGTTTCAGAACTATGGAAACCCACCTCGGCGGGCAGGTAAAGCAGGGAGGCTTAGCTTAAAGTGGGAGCAGAGCCTGGAGCCACCTCCTCCCTCCCCACGTGTTTCCACATCCCATCTTTCCTCGGTTCACCACACCCGCATCTCAACATGGAGCAGCCTGAGGGTTCGATCAAGCATACTTTAAGGCCCAACCTCTGTGGCATAACTGGCTGTCTATTGGACTGCAGAGCTAGAAGGCACATGCTGACTGTGGTTCGAGTCCCTGGCCCAGCTGGCCTGAAAACACGGGCACGCCTAGGGTCCCAGAGGGCTGGAGAACTGCAGGACGGGGACTGCGGCATGACCGAGCCCTGTGGAGCATGCTTTCTCCCCCATCCTGTCTTCCCCTCATGTGCATGCATGTACTCTATCATGGATGAAACAACAACACACAAAGAGGAACAACTTGAGGAGCCAGCAGGTGGCGTGGACTCCCACATGGCTGACCACAGTTTGTGTCCGGGACCTGGCGGCTTGCTTTCTCACTCCCTCCTCCCTGTCTCTCTCTAGTCAAATTGAAAATAATAATAATAATAAATAAAATTTTAAAAAAGAAATGTCTATTTGAGTTCTCTGCCTTTAACAAAAAAGGAACAATTTGAAAATACTCTGTATGCATCGATTAATATAAAAATTCAAAACAGGAAAAGCACTGACTTGGGATGTTTTCCATGAGAGATCAAATCATTTGCTCTTGAACTAGATTAAGTGGAAAATGACCATGTTCAGGCTCTACGGAGCTGAAAACGGGTTGTATTACAAAATGCAGAAACACCCTTCTGCTCCAATCGCTTGAAGAAAAAAAACGAAACTCAGTGAAACAAGATGAATTCAAATGAATCAACAGAACAGATGATCCCAGCATAGGAATTTCTGTGAGAAACCTTCAAATTCTAGGCAGCCTGTGTGTGTGTGTGCGAGCAAACTCCCACATCTGTGCTCAGTGGGCGTCTCTGCAACACCGTTACTGACTTTGCAGCAGGAAACCAGACACCATGGGCATAACCGAGCACCAGTCCCCACGCACAGAGGCCGGTGCGGACTCCGGATACTCACTCTTTTCTACCTTCATGCGCTTCGACTCCATGAAGGCCACGTTCAGCCTCTGCTCGGTGTACTCCTGAAGGAGATCTTCTCTCGCTGCCAGCATTTTCAGGGGGTTTTTGGAAGCTTGAACCCGGCGCTTGGGCCTGACTGCACGCTTATGCTCAGCCACCGAAGACGTCAATCTGCGGAGCAGAACCGAGCCGGGCTGGGTCAGAACACCAGCCAGGCCTGGCTGATCGGCAGCCCTCGGACCCAGAGCAAGGCACCCACAGTTTTATTTCCTGATTCATTACATGTTTTACAACTTTGTCCCGCACCACTCCCTGCTGCGGAGTCACAGAATCTTGGAAATAGAAGGAAGACTCAAGCCCCCTGTGTTCAAGACCCCAGCCAATCCCAGAAGCCCCTGCTCTTTGCCCTCACTGATACCGGGCAGCTCATGCCATGGCTAGACAGCTCCCAGGCTAGGAGCTCCCTCTCTGCTATCACGCCCATGCTCATGTCCTGCTTCTGTCTTTGGAATAACCCACCCCTGTCGACCTCTGTCACCAGCAGGCACTTCAGGACAGACAGCCATCATGCCTCGATTTCATCTCTGCTCCAGACTACACTTTCTCTTTACATAACAGCTTTGCAGTTCCCTCACCAGAGAGGCAGAGGGAGATGGAGAGAGAGAACTGGAGCAATCACCCTCCAGGGAGATGGCCATGCCACAGTCCCTTCTCCATCCTTCTCTTGGGGATTGGGCACACACACACCCAGTGTGTTTCAAGTCGCTGAATCTGGGACTCGATCCGCGGTCAGCCATGTGGGAGTCCGGCACCTTAACCTCTCGCCACCTGCTGGCCCTGCAGCACTGCACATTGGGCTCTTAGTGACGAGCGGCTGCCGTGGCTAAACCCAGTAAGAAAGCTCCTTGGAGATGTCCTGTGTAGGGCAGGCGGGAAGCTGCTCTCCAGGGAGGAAGGTCTGAGGCGAAAGAACTCACTTGGGTGCGTAAGGATCAAAAAGAACATCGAAGTCCTCATCCAGCTCCACGGGACTCCTCGGGATACTGTCATCCATGCTGCGGTAAAACTTGGCAAAGGTCTCGTCATCGTCCGGCTTCATCACCTCTTTCACGGACTTCCCGGTGACGGTGAGCACCGTCTCCTGCATTCCACCAACTGCCAACACACCAGCACACGGGCATCGGGGTTTTACACAAATTCTGACTCCCACTGGGCCTCGGAACACTTGAAATGATCTTCCCTGTAAGTTCCAGGAGTGGAGGACACCCGACGGCGATGTCCAGGGTCCTGAGGTTAGGGTCCCAGAATAACCCAGGCCCTTATTTCGCCTCTCATGTATGGACTTCCGCCTGAACCAACCATGGACAGTGAAACACACAGAGAGGGAGGAGAGCTTTCTGCTCTCGGCCCCTGAGCAATTCTGAACCTGTGCCCGACAGCAGTAGAGACAGAACGAGTCTCAGCCTCGTTCTACGAGAGTCAGCAAACGCTTTCTGCAAAGGGTCAGGTAGGAAATCCTGCAGGCTTTGCATGCAGGGCCATATGGCCTGTGTTAAAACCACTGAATTCTGCTGTCACAGTGCAGGAGTGGCTATTGACCGCAGGTCCACCAATGGACATGGCTGCGTTTCAATACCACGTTCTTCACACAGAGGGCTGGAGTGGCCATGGTCATCGTTTGCTGACCTGTAGGTTAGATCACTGTTACCTGTACGTAATATGGTTTTTTATTTATTTATCCTTTTAGGTTTTTACCTAAAAAAGTGTGTGTGATTGTTGGAAAGAGACAGAGGAAGGGAGAAAGGGAAATCACACCCTGAGGAGATGGCCGTGTCACCATCTCTTCTCCTCCATTCTCTTCGATTTGAGGCATGAACACACACACGCCCAATATGATTTCAGACTGCTGGGTTCGGGACTCAAGCCATGGTTGGCCATGTGGGAGCCCAGCACCTTAAACTCTATGCCACTTGCTGGCCCCTCTAACACACTTTGGATTGCATTCCTTGCCTGGTAAGTTGAAGTACTACATTACTCCTTTATATTTCTGGTTAGGAGTGGTTTGTATTCTTTTCAACCTTTTAGAGGTCACTATGAAAAAGAAGAACTCCTGGTGCCTGCTCTTTGATAAGTTTTAACTATTGGACAGTCCTAAAAAGAGCTATTTCTACATTTGATTCTTTGGTTTGGTATACTCCACTGAGTTTTATATTGAAATATTTATTTATCAGAATTTTCTTAAAGAAAGAACATGTGACTATAAGAAATCAGATCAGCTTTTACCTTATTAGAAACGGATACATACGATTTCGAGTTCACCAGGCCCGAGATCACATTGATTGTTCTTGCTTAGAATAATCTGCTATCAAGGTTAGAAGCAAACTCAAGGAGTTCCCTACTCTGATCAGATGAAATCCCAAGGATTAGATCCAGGAACAAATGTGTCCTTGGCGATCCCTAATGTAGTCCATTATCTAGTGAGCCGGGGCTAGGTAATCCAATCAGCCTGGACCCAAACTTCAGTTTTTGAAAGATAGCTACAAAGATAATGCTTACAATATGCATAAGCAAAATATTAATAGAAAGAAAACAATTTAGTTGAGGAGAAAAAGCAACTGGAGTTAGGATTTAGACATTGTGAGAAACGAATTGTTTGTTTGAGGTTTTCTTAGCTACTCATTGAAAATACAAACCGAGTGTGCTCTAAGAACATAAACCAAAGCTTCCCTGCTGACTTCTGGTGTGTACCTTTGTTATTCAGCCTTCTTAGAAAGGTTTCCAGCCTATCCAACTTCAGGTCCGATTCCAAATGCATGTCTGGTCTGGCTTCAATATCTAAGCGAAGAGAACCCACCAGTGAGAGAGCGTCACTCACGACTCCATTAGTCAGACATGCACTGGGGTGTGTACTGGTGCCTGGGCGACTCACCTTCCAGGGGCTTGGAAACTGGGGTAGTGCCCCTCGATTTACTGCAAATAGGGGATGCCACTGGCGTGATGGCAGTGGGTGACGCCAAGCCTGCAGAATGAACAAGGAGCTATTTAGCAACTCAACATGACTTCCAGAAATCCCCAAGGACCTGAAGAATCTCGTTTAGCCCCAGCACAGACTGTATAACCTGTAGGAATCCACACACATGTCCTGCATAAACACGTGTGCACTGGCAAGGACCCCGACTGCAGGGACAACTGCAAATGTAGATCTAATCTTACTGCTTCTGAGGGCTGTAGCAGCTGACAGGCCGATACTCCTAAATGAACAATAACCCCCGAGGAAACAGTCCATGACATGCACACGGAATAGAGCGTGCCTAAGCCTGTGAGAATGCACGCAGGACACCCGGCCTTGGGAGTTCTGATGGTGCTTTGGGGGCCCTAGGGCAGCTGACGCAGAGGGAGTTGGGAATGCACTGCACCACACAAGCCAGCAGGCGGCCTCCAGCAGACAATCTGGCCTTGGGGACCTTACACAAACAATAGCCCCAGGAGGGCTAACCTTCCAGAAAAACGACAGAGGAGAGAGACGTTTAACCTGACTTGCAATGCTAAGATCACGTCCTGCTCAGCTGTGGCTGGACACTGGCGGCATGCCCTGTCATGTATTTACTGAGAAGACACAAGTCTCACACAGGACCCTGACCCGACCACCTGCCTTACAGGGGCAGATGGAAGGGAAGGCAGGAATCCCACCTCACGGGAGACACCTGGTCGGAACAAGAAAACTTACCAAAAAGGAAGATAAGTATTATTTCCTAACCTCAGTAGATGGGGTTGGAAAAGGAAGTAACCAGCCCATTTACAAGCATGAAATTAGATGTTAATTTTCTCTGTATTCATTTGTAATAAACGGGAAACCCTCAGCTGACATTGCCACTCCAAGTGTCTCTCGTGAGCAGCTGGAGAACATGTGACTAGCCATCACTTACAAGGAAAAATAGGCGAATGAAAGCCTCTGCTCCTTCCTCCTGTGAGCTGGAGATGTAAGTATCATAGCATAAATAATTTAAGGAAGAATATTATTAAATGGCTTAAAACTCGAGTTTTAGGTAATATTCTAGAAGTACTTCTCAATAGGTACATATATCTATTTGCTTGATAGCATCAGTAAAAGTTTAAAACTTGGTTTCAATTCCCAGACCTGAGCTAGGTTTACATCCATGCAAGTCGACTCTCTTGAAAGGTACTCAAGATTAGCATAATTTGGTAGTGCAGGGTGGAGCAGACGTTGCCTACTAAAAGGATATTTAAGAGACACTGGGAGAGTTTATTAGCACAGAGGTCATTAAAGATGAAGCTAATAAACAGGAGGGACTCAGGCTGATTTCCAAGGCAACCAGCAAAACCTGCCCCTCTCCCATTGGCCTGGTGAATGCCGTGGCTCTAGCTCCCCCTGCTGCCCAGCTGGGCAATAGCTCACAACAGGGCTCAGAGCTCAGGGAGACGGGGCGGACATCTCTTCCCCAGCTATAGGGCTGAGGATTCTTCTATTATGGTGTGGGGAATGTCGGTTCAAATTACAGAATGTTCGAACAGAAGAAAGCCCTCTCCCGTGCTTCTTTTCAATGAATTCGAGCTGCCTTAGCCAGGCGCTTCCTCTCCTTGGGAACGCTTTCCTCATCTCTTATTCAATCTCCCTTTCGAGGAGAATCTGGAATACCTCAGAAGGAGAAAGTCTAGGGAAGGCTTCCTGGGGGAGAGAATGAAAATCGGGGCCCGGCAAGCCTTTCAGCAGCTCACTGACAGGTGGTAACTGCTGGTTACCAAGAGGCGTCATCACAACCTGGGAGACAGGAAGTCGCCGTGGCCATCACGAGGGGGTCATTTTATTCTGAGTGAACGTAAAAGGAATGCTGTATTACTGCAAGTCAAAAAAGAGCTAATGGGGGTCAGCATTTGGCATGGTGTTAAGGTGCTGGACTCCCACAGGACTGACTGCAGTTCGAGTTCGAGTCCTAGACCTCGTAACTTCAAAAACATCTCGTGTGTGTGTGTGTGTGTGTGTGTGTGTGTGTGTGCGCACGCGCGCACAGACTCCCAAGGAGA